AATAAGTATCAGACAAGAAAATATCAAATAGCTTATGAATGAACATTAAGTATTAGAAGTATTATGTTATCTATAGTGGAGTTAAGGTTTCAGGGGGGGAGTTAGTAGTCTGAGGATAGGTAGATTAATTTAGCTTATGATTGTTAACTGAAATACCTTGTATTCTGCTCTGGGAAGTCTGGGGGGGAGGGTGGGATGAGGGGAGGGAAAGGGTAGGGGGAATATTGGGGGGGGAATTCTTTTTTTCTGTAAAACTTTTCAATAAAAAAAAAAGAATTGCCTAACAATGATACAATAAATAAAATCATCTCCAAGGCTTTCTGCATGGTGGGATATTTGAAACAGTGTGTTCCATATTATCCCAATTATCCATATCATCCAGTGGACTTCTTGAAGTGGTATGATTCTTGGCAGACTTCCTCTAAATGACTAGGTTGGATGGACAGAACCTTGTCTCTAATACATCCCTGGGCCATATTGTATGGGCTGTATCCATATCCATCTTTATTTTTTGTCTTTCTCTCTTTCCTTCCAATGCATAGTTCCCTGAGCTGAGCCCTAAAGTCTGAAAACCAAAAAAGCAACTTAACAAAAACAACTCTTAAAAAGCAGTTGTGGTTATTCTATTGCTGCTGCATAATGTGAATAGTGCGTATTAGGAGTGTGAAAACATTGAGTACTGAGATTTGATTTAAAGATTCCCTAAATCAAAATGACTTTCCAAAATAGACAGTTCATGTTCACAGAATTATCAAATCAATGATCCTTCAGCATGTGGGGGAGAGGGGGAGAAATAATTCTTTCTGAATTGAAATGTCCTTCTGATTTAGTTTGATTTCATAATATAATTTAGAAATATAAATCAACCAGGGACTATGAATTGAATCAATGATTTAAACAGAATTGATTCAGTTTAAATCTATTGTATGCAATTGAAGGGTTTTTGAAGTCTATTGCAAGCTCTCGTACAAAGTACAACAAACAGCTATCAAAAAATATCCAAACAATGTCTCTTACTGAAATCATTCTCAATTATGTATTAAGTGCACCAATAAACACAGCTGAAGTTGAATACTATTTTTAGGAAAGCTTAATATCAAAACTTTCTTTGGCTTACTAAAATCTGTCTCTAATTATATATAACTAGTTCCCTTTGAAAAGTGTTTTGTCTGCTACAGAACTCATTGTAAAAAATGGTGCCTTACTTCTTTTTTTAAATTTTGCTTTGTGAAAAAACTCTCATTTTAAGATGGCTCCCAATTTAAATGCTCATACAATATGAACACAGAGAAAATGCTGCTCGTTATTAACATCATTTCTCCAATTACCTCATTTATTTGATTGGCGGTGGCATTCATGAACATCTATGATATCATCAGCAAAACTGCATGAATTGTCAAAGCCAATCAAAGTGAATGGCCCGTAGGCAAATGAGGTTGAGCACAGAAAAAGTAGGGCCAGCCAGCAACTATGAGAGAGACAAAAGAAGTAAAACAATAGTGAAATTCAACTTTCAGGGCTGCAAACACAAGAGTTTTTAAATAATACCATACCAAGTAATTGCTGTGCAGATCTTAGCTACAGCAACCAATTTGCTATTCCTATCTTTTCTGGAATATCTGGCAAATTTCTAATGGAATTATTTGGCAACCTTGGACCAATTTTATGGATACTGACATGAAGCAGCTATAGCAATTAACAACTTTCTTTCTAAAACTCTACTGGTTCCAATTTACTACTCCATCTATTAACGAACTTTGGGAGATGAAGTGACAGAAGTGGTGCCTGGAGTGTTGGTGGAGAAGACTAAAAGTGAATCTGATCAAGCATAGATGAGAACTTGAGCTCATACTATGGTGACCATGGGGCTAACTGTTATGCATGTCTCCTGTATTGTGTTGGTTGACTGTCAACTGGTGGCACCATTTAAGGTACCCATCTGTTCATTAGGAAGAATTTAGCAGGTAAGTCTGTCACCCTTGGCTTCTCTGTTTGAAGCCTACTACCGTTTCGGAAACGGGAGCACGGGAACCTTCTGCGGATGTGCAGATGGTAATAAATGTAATGATGTTCCGGCGGATGGGTAGAGCCTCCTGCCACCAGCACTACTGGTTTGGCAAGCTGGGGGATTTCACCACTGACTACACTCTTTTTTTTGCATCAATCCATTCTCAAACTTGGTTTGGGAGTAAGTTGCCAAAAGAACTGATCTATACATTTTCCTAGAATTGGATTATCTGTTCAGTTTCCAGTTGAGTCTTACATGCAACACTTCACATCATAAGGAATATTATATGCAGCCATTATAACCTTTGAGATCAGTGAGCACTATGAATACATATTCAGCTCCAACCCAATCCTTTCCTATGTTGGTTTATCCTATTGTTTTTTTTATCTCTTTTCCAATAAATGAATTGTGGCATCAAACTGTTCCTGTTTTTCACTGTGAAGACTGGTCAAAGATCATAATAAAGATATTTGATGACCAAAAATCTCTTACACAAACAAAAAGGAAAACAAAGATATCTTTAAATTTAAAGATAAATTGCGGATAATATGCTGGTTTGCTCAGGGACCAAACCAGAGGTGGATTAAAGATTGACAGCAGACTCCATCTTCTGTCCTTGTTCTTTGCTCTTTTTGGTTATCATATTGATGTATTTTAATTGTGATCTTTTTTCAATGTTTATTTTATGGTTCTATTATTTTACTTCTGTTTACACTCATTTCATTTTCATCTTTATTATTATTGTAAGATGCTTAGAGTAGTCCCATGGCAAAGTAAGCGGTAAATAAATTTAACAAATAATAAATAAACCTAAAGCAAAGCATTTTTCCAACATTTATCCCAATCATAAGGTTTAAAGCCAATCTTTTTTAGAGTCATATTTTTAAACCTGACCAATTTTGAATAGCATACTTATTTATTCATTGTTTATGTAACAGCTCACCTCATTTATGTGAGTCTGGGTGGCTTATAAATAAACAAACACACACAACCAAAAATAACCAAAATCGTAATAACCAACATAACCTGTGGAAGAGTGCAGTCAATCTCACTAACAGTATCACTATTTTGCAGGTTGCACACCAACGCTAGCAGATCCCAAGGCAGGAGGTAAAGCTATATTTTCAGCTGTTTCTGGAAGGTCAGTAAATAATGCAGGTGTTAGAAAGCACAGTTTAAGAGATTCAATTAAAAAAAATTTATTCGAAAGAAACTAAAATACAAACAGGAGATAATTAAACAAACTAATCAGAATTGAATTAATCTCTGTTGAAATACAGACCAAACTCTCTCCATATGAAACCAGTCTGTGGTTTCTTACCAAAAGGTTTTCTCCTAATTATTTTTTCTCCAATCAAAAGGTGGAGTGAAGGAAGAATTCACTTTTTACAAGGTGTATTAGAGTAGATTTCCTATTCATATCGCCACATTAATTATCCCTCTTATTTGCATAACTTTGTGGAAAAAAATTTGGATTTTCACTGTTTCAAACTCAGTTTCCTAGTGGTGTCCTAATTCAAACAAGAGATTGTTGTTTTATTTGTTCAGTTTTTTTTCATCCCCCATTCCCTCACAATTTTTGTGTCTTTTTCCAAATTTGATCTTTCCTTCTTGCTTCTTTTGAGTCTCCCTCCAAACTAATTTTTAGTTTGATTGTGGCACAACTCTGAATCCAGCTATTTTTAATTCTGAAATATTGTAATAAGTAACTTTGTATAGGTAGTTCGTGGCTTATTGTGACCAGAATTTCCATTACCAAGCAAAGTAATTGTTGAGTGAATTGTGTGGTTTTGCTATCAATTTTGCCATGGTTGTTAAGCAAATCACTGCACTTATTAAAGTGATTTTGGCTTCTCCCATTGACTTTGCTTATCAGCAACCAATAGGGAAGATTCTACATGGCGATCACATGACTCTAGGAGACTGCAGTCATCATAAATACATGTGCCTGAATTTTAATCAGCTGACAATGAGGATCTTGCAATGGTTTATGTGCAAGGACCAGTCACATTACTTTTTTCAGTGCTCTTGTAACTTTGAATCTCTAAATAAATGGTTGGAAATTGAGAATCCAGAGCCCAAAATCCCTTCTTGTTTCAGGTGTTTTTTCAAATCTCAGAATAATGTGCACAACCAAAAAAAACCTGGTATATTTCATCCTAGCAAAACTATGTATAGTGGTAATTTTTTAAAAATTGCTTTGGTATTTTTAATGCAAACTTGACTAAAAATCTTATTTTAATTATTAATTTTATAATTAAAAAAATTAAAATTAATGGTTAGATATTGCAAGAAAGGAATACCATACATATTATCTATTCTAAATATTCACTAGAATGGAGTTTTAGTAGTAGGATAATACACTGAGAAATATTTCTTCAGAACTGAAATACTATGGTCCCAACCCAAGGATTTTCACATATAACTGCATCCACCAAATACCAGCCAGATTTACATTCTGATGTAGGAATTCAGTAGTTATTTCTAGATTCAGTCTAGAATGGAATCAGTGCTATTGCCCTCACGGCATCCTAATATTTAAACACATAATTTTATGTACATACATCAACTTTATGAAGCATTTTGAGAGTTGATGGGTTCAAGAAATAGTTTTATACTGCTGTCTACTTGACCAGTAAACAAATCTAAATAGCATCAAATAAACCTTAGATCTTGACTTTATTTCTATTTATTCCATTCTCAATTCTACTTGTAATTATAATTTGTTTTGTCAGTAAAATGATAAGAATATCCCAAGTATTTGATGTATCCAGAAAACATGTTATTATTGAAAAACAACCTATAGTCACTGAGTAATTCTTGTGTTGGTAGCCACAGTGATTGAAGGATTTATGCAAGAAATTACTGTAGGGGAAACACTTCTGAAAACAAAGTTTGATGACGTAGTATCAAATGTCTGTATTTTCCCCTAGTAATGTGTTTTTCATAAAATAAGCCAAGTATGATGTAAAATAAATTATGGATCAGGATATTCAGGACATATTTTATTACCATATATTAAGCTTTACAAGTTTTACTGAAGCTTATCAAAAGCACTACAAAATTATAACCTTACAGAGAAGAAATTAATTGTATAACATAAAACATAGACAAAAGGGGAATGGGGAATGAAGGGAAAGAGAAAAAGTCAAGACATAAACTACAAAAGGGTGCACTAATACTGATTAAAACTAGGCAATAATTTCTTTGGAATGAGGGGAAGACAGGTAAGTTTTCAAGGGATGAAGTTAGAATTTCATTGCTTTTAAGAGTATGATGTAGATCAAAAGTGCAACACCAATACACAGGTTTGTTGTATATAGGCACAACCTAATGAAAAAAAAACCAGCTGATATTATGCATAACATAAACTAACTTACAATAAGGCAGCACACAGTTTGTATTGCAACCTTGGCACTTACGTGATTGGATAATATTTGGCATAGCAGTGAAATGATACATAGAATTTTTTTGTTGTGGCTTTCCCCACATTTTTCTTTTTATATAAAAAGTATGCTATCCCTTTGAACCTTGACTTTTTAAAGTAGGTTTTCTGATTGTTAACATCAGAATGGTAATGTAATGGTAATAGTAATCATACACATTTTTTTTAAAAGCAACAGAAATTATTTAGAAACAAGACCATATGAAATTTTCAGAAATAATTAAGTTATTACCGAACTAATAAATTTAGAGGATGGGCAGAGCAAAACTTCTAGTGCCTTATGAGACAATATGGATCAAAAATCATGTTTATTTATGAATGTTATTTGATTGTAGTATGCAATTAAGAAGTACTTTTTAAAGCTGTTTAAAAGTTGTGCTAGTTGTTAAACTCAAAAGTTTTACAAATTACTTAACAATCTTTGCTAGATCAGTATTACAAAACTTGGGGAGCATTTTTTTAAAAATGTAACTCATTTGAATCACTTGAAACCAAGTCACCTAGTCATGCCCTACAAAACATTCCTTGTATTCTTTTCATTAAATTTGACTGAAAGTTATTTCAACAAAAATCTGAACATACTCCTGAGGCAGTATTTTCATAAAAAAAAAAAAAATCAACCAATACTATCTTGTAATTTGTGATATAGTTATGCAATATATGTTATGTGTATTGATAACAATTTAAAATTAACTTCTTTAAAGTATTTTATAATGTTATAAATGGAACTTATTATATGTTAACTACACATCATATATTGGCATTCATTTGCCTGTACATGTATATTTCTTGCCCTCACTTAAACTACTACAAAACACCAAACATTGGTGCTTACATTACTAAAAAATCTTCAGGTTTAAAAAATCCCTAATACTAGGGATTTTTCTTTACATTTTAAAACACAATTTAAAGTATCCTTTCTCTTGTAAGGATATTTTCTTTCTAAATTTGAATTAAAATAAATTTTAAATTTTATCAGGTGAACAAAGATATTTAAAGTGAATTTGCAAAATAGAAAGAGCTTTTTCTTTCAGAGTGCAATCATCAGGGATGTTTAATGTCAGTGGACTCTTTTCCCACTGAAACAGAAGGAAGGAAACAGCAGCCGATCAATATGTGACTTGGTGTAGAAATGTTAGCTAAAGTAAAAGTTAGTAGTATTTACTACTGCTATTTATGCTATTTTTTAAAAAATTAACCATTCAATAACAATTTTAATTGAATTATTTGCATAGAACAGGGTTATGCTTTAAAAAAAAAGACTTCTGAGTAAGCATTGCAACACAAGATAAGGCACATGTTTTTTTTCTGTAATATATGAAATTCAAAAACAATTTCTAGGAGATGAATACTCCTACAAGATGCCTGTTTTACCCTGTTCTACCTGAAGAATGCAAAAAAAGCAACTGAACATAAAATAAAAAATCTTAACCTCTTACCTGAAGCCCTAAAAAAGCAGAATTATACTTAGTAGAAATAGAAATCTAAAGTAATATCCTTCGCTTTCAAACAAACCATAGCAACAAAAGAACAGCCATAAAATGCAGGCTACTGGTTTTCATAATGACTAACTTCTCCTTTCCTACAAGTGCCTTTTGAAGATAATGAAGCTACTTTGTGAGGCACTTGGGCTAACTGTAAAGAAGTAATGCAATGAAATTTGTTGTACAAAACCTAAAACTGCATTTCATTTTTTTCTATCAAACTTTCTATTAAAGTGCTAGAACCTGAAGTATAAAATAAAAGAAGAAATGGAAAATCATAAGCAAGTATGCAATTAAACTATATGCTTTACTTGCTCTTCTGACTAGAACACCAGGTTCAAAAAAGCTTGAAGTAATGTATGAAATTTTTATGCTATTCCAAATAAGATTCTCAGAGTATCCATTTTATTTTTAAAACAATAAAACCATTTGCCTTATCTTATGCTCTAAGTGTGATGCAGCAATTATATTACAATGGTGCATACTCTCACTGACATGTGCACACTTTTAGGCTATAGAAATACCGTGTTTCTCCGAAAATAAGACCCTGTCTTATATTTTTTTGAACCCTGAAATAAGCACTTGGCCTTATTGTCATGAGCTCAAAAGCCCGATTCGGCTTATTATCAGGGGATGTCTTATTTTGGGGGAAACAGGGTAGCTCCAACTTCCACATATAAATATCAAGTTTTGAATGATGTATTCTATATGCATGCATATTAAGTGCAACGTCTGATTTTCATTCTCCACTTAAGAATCTTGTTCAAACTCTCTGCAAGACTTTGCTGCTGAACTACACAAAACCGTTAGATGCTAAATCTGAGAATGATCTGGATTCTGTTGAATGACGAAGTGGCTGAAGATGTGTCCCAGATTGAGTGCTGACAGCATCTAATTGCTGCAGATAATCATCATGCAAGTTTTCTTCAGCAAATATATTCTGAAACTGGAAAACAGAAAATTTTTATTAAATAGAAATCATCCAATCTATCTTAATCTACAACAAGGTAAAAATGATATTACACCCAGAAAAAATAATTTTATTGCTTTAACAGAAAGAATTGGACTTAACTAATTGTCCCAGGTTGCACTGAAACCAATATGAATTTATTCATTATGAAAAGTTAAGTCAACCTGATTTCAAAATAGTTAATATAGGAGTGGTTAATCCCCCACTTTTCTATTGGACAATGCTTTTGTCTTATCCTCAGACTACTGTGGAGGCAGCCCAAAGTTATATTTAGTTATTCTATTATTAATCAAACAACACTATTTGTATTTGTCTCTCTTTTCAACAAAAATCTTGCTTTATAAAAACATCTATGACATCTTAATGATAATGTCTAGTTACTGGGACATTATAGCATGAACAGAGAGACTATACTGGCTTGCACAGAGCTATCTGGTTGTGGCTTTGAAGACAAAATAGACTTGCTATTATATTCAGGTCCAGTGGCCCATCTGTAGGCTGTTACACTGGTCTGTAGGGGGAAAACAGCTACCTGACTTAAACAGAGGAAAAAATCACTCTTGGGTTACATTTCAGATTAGCTTGTTATAGGTTTTTCTCAGGGCTTGACAAATAAATTTCAAAAAATATATTTCCTGTATATTTTATTATTTAATATTAGAGGCAATCCATTTGGAGTATACTTCCACATCATTTTGTCTATTTCATGTGCTACTTCTGAGTCCTAGTGGGTATCACTTGCTATTAGCTGTGCTATTTTCTTGGACTAGGCCAAGATTCTAAATGAATGAATGAATATCCTACCTGAATGATTAACTGGATGTAGTATAGCAGGGGTGAAATCTAAAATTTTTCTCTACCGGTTCTGTGGGTGTGGCTTGGTGGGGTGTGTGTCCTGTGACTGAGTGGGCGTGGTGAACTCAATGTTACTCATAGCCACGCCCAGTCAGTCACAAGACTCCCCACCACCAAGCCACGCCCACAGAACCCAGTAGGAAAACTTTTTACATTTCTATTCTGCCTTTTCCCTTTTTGCAAGATGCCTGTAGCTGCAGCCTCTCTTTTTTCGCTGTGCCTAGAGGTGATTCTTGTGCTGAAAGATGCAGCGGCTGCAGGCTTCTTACAAATGAACGTTACCGGAGCTGCTCCCCTTCTTGAACGTGGCCTTGCCCCGGAGCCACCACCCGCTCGCCACCCACTCTCCTTTCGCTTTGGGTCGGGCCTAGGGCCCAAGGACGCACTATTCCCTGGAGCCCTGGAGCTGCCGCCTGCTTTGACTGGATCAGGGAATGCACCATTCCCTGATCCCGGCCTTGCCCTGGAGCTGCCACCTGCTCTCCCTTTGCCACGCGGGGTGTCCTTACCTTTCTCTCACAGCTGGCTGCCAGGGAAAGCAAGCACCCAAAAGTTACCAGAGCCACTCTCCTTCTTGAATGTGCCACCGCTATCGCCGCCCTGGTCCATGCGCAGGCTGCACAAGTGCACACCCAACCTGCCGCTGATGAATGAATGAAATAAATGGTGTGCGCTTGTGCATCCGGCACATGGACCAGGGCGGTGATGGCTGCGGCGCATTCATGGAGAGCGGCTTTCGGGCGCTTGCTTTCCCTGGCAGCCAGCCATGGGAGAAAGGTAAGGACATGCTGTGTGGCGAAGGGAGAGCGGGTTGCAGCTCCGGGGCAAGGCTGGAGTCGGGGAATGGTGCATTTCCCGAATCTGTTGAGGCAGGCGGCAAGCAAGCGATGGCTCTGGAGCCTCAGGAAATGGTGTGTCCCTGGGCCCTGACCCAAGGCAAAGGGCGAGCGGGCAGTGAGCAGGCGGTGGCCGGAGTCAGGGAATGGTGCATTCCCCGACCCAGGCAGGCAGGCAGCGAGCAGGCAGTGTTTCTGGGGCCTCGGGGAATGGCAATCCCTGGGTCACGGCCCCCCAACCCAAGGCGAAGGGCGAGCAGGAAGCTTGCGTGGTGGCACCAGCAGAAGCGTTGTGGGGAAGTGGCCCCAAAAGCAGAAGCGCTGTACCCAGAAAGAGAAGGGCAAGAGGGGCCAGTGGGCTGCAGAGATGAAGGCAGTGGTGCTCCAGGAGAGAGGGTGGATGTCCTGGGGCTGCACATGCAGTGCCGCCACCACTGCCTCTCTTGGCCACAGCGCATGTGCAGAGGCACAAAAAAACAGGTTACTTCCTGGTTAAAACCAGGAAGTAATGACTTCTGGGTGGGTGGGTGGAGCCTCGAGCTTCCACCACTACCAGTTCTCTGAACTGCTGGCCATCATCACAACCAGATTGGCCAATCCAGTGTGAGCAGGAAGCATTTTACCCCTGTTGTATAGGGAAGAGTTCACAGGCACATCAACAGAGCTCTCTTATATGCCTCCTATGGCACTCCTACTATTTACGTGCCTTTCTTTTCAGGCATTTTATAAAGTTAATTTGAAACATGTTTTCAAAAGCAATTTGAAATAATTAAATACATAATTTTTTTAAAAAAATATTGTTTCAGACTAACCCACTAAATATTCAAACAACCAGAAGCACAACAATCAATTGAAATTTCCAAGCACAATTTTTTTTTAAGGATCATCTGTTAATTTTGTACAATACTGTTCCCTTTAAGATTTAGAACGATTAGGCATAAAGACTTCCAGAAATCTAACAGGTTGCTTGCCTGTTGCTCCTAAATAGTCAGGAATCAGAAAAGAACCTTAATTATTCAGAAGTCTTAGTATGAATATAATGTATTATTTTATCCCTGTTAGTTTCTGACTAATTTAATTGAATGAATAATAGAAGAATAATATTGAGAAGATAAAACTGGAATTTTCTATGTTTTGGCTTACTATAGCAATGAGCACATGTAACAGTCAAAAACGCTACAAGACTGTTTTAAAAGTGTTATTTCCATACCTTGTTTGATGGCTGTTGTTCCAATAATACAGGATCATACTGCATTTGCTCTGACCCGTTTGCCTGGGCTTCGGACACACACTGATACATTGACAAAGCACCAGCATAGCATGCCTCCGAAGTTTCTGTAACTTGCTGAGAGTTCTGCTCACAGGACTGACTTTCAGGGACTTGAAAACAGCTGAGAAAATCTAAATCAGAAGAACTTGGAAAAGTAGACAGATTAAAGTTTTCAGTGAAAAAGTCTACCTCTGTAAAATCTGGGAATTGTGACATCATGCTGGTAGGTTGCTTGTAAGGGGTATATTCCTCTCTACAGGCATATGATGCTGTACTGTCTTCAGATTTGTAAGGGAACTCCTGAGTTATTTCTTGTATTTCAGAAAAGTCAAATGGTTGTATCTGCTGTTCAGAAGGATTAAGAGTTGTGCTGTTGAGAGAGTTCCAGTCTGCGAACATTCCATTTACCTGCATGTGCTTCATCTTCTGGCACAGTTGCTGTTGCTGTGGCAACTGCTGTTCCATCATTGTTGATATCTGCTGTTGATCTATTTGCTGCTGCATTAAACAAGCAGAATTCTGAAAAATGGGCTCCTGCTGCTGGCAACTTGAATACAAGACATCTGTCTTATTTAAAGACTCCTGAACATAGGTCAAGATTTCATCAGTTATATCACCATCTCTAATGTCATCCACACCAGCAAAATCATTCTTAAAAAACTCATCGTCCTGCTGAAAATTAAAGTCTATACCATTAAAGTCAGACTCGAGCATATTCATGATACTGAACAATTCACAGTTTTTGTTATCCTGAAAAAGCCCTACATTTTCTTCAGGGACCATCAAGTTACTATCTTGAGGACAGTCAGTCAGCTCTTGTTTGAGGATGCTATTATTCCCTACTGATAAAAGACCATCCTGCCAATTTCTGGCCATCATGCTGCTCAATTCACCTCTAGTGTCTGCAAAAAAGTCCCTCTCAAGAGAGATTTTATTTGAAGCAGGTGGGCAAAGATAAACTGATTCATCCTGCTGCAACATTGCTCCCAAAAGTGAATTGGGATCAACAGATTCTTTGCACAGTGCAACCTTGGAAGCAGCTCCTTTTCCAATACCACTTTTAACCTTTGTCTGAGATGAATCCATTATACCAGGCTGAGGAAATGCTACTTCATACAATACAGCCTCACCTGTAGCAAACATGAAAGGCAGTTTCATATTGCGCTTTCGTAAATGCTCTGCCCCCTCTTCATCTCTGAATTGAAAAATACAAAGAGAGTAAAAATAATTGAATTTCAGTACTGAAATATTCAGTGAAATATCTCAATGTGCATAGAAATAAATCTAATAGAAAATCTAGATTGTTAATAATTATAAGTAGATTATAATCTATTAATTTATTATTAAAATGAGTTTAATCTGTAGAGAAAAGGAGCTTACAGGATTTTATGCATAATTTTATTCATAAATTATGAATACATAAGAAATCTAAATTAGTAAAAATAACACTTGCAGGATGGGGGGGGGAACATATCATTAAACTGATCACTGTATAATTCTTTGCGGCCATACAAGAATTGTATTCCCAAACCAAGCTTATTTGCTTTTTTATTTTTTATTTTAAAAATCAAGTTTACAATTAGCAATAGCACTTAGACTTATATACCACTTTACAGTGCTTTACAGCCCTCTCTAAGCGGTTTACAGTCAGCATATTTCCCCCAACAATTTGGGTCCTCATTTTTACCCACCTCAGAAGGATGGAAGGCTGAGTCAATCTTGAGCCTGGTGAGATTTGAACTGGCAAATTGCAGTCAGCCGGCAGTCAGCAGAAGTAGCCTGCAGTACTGCACTCTAACCACCGTGCCACCATGGCTCAATGTTTGGGATTTTTTGCTTACTTGTTTGTTTTTAAACAATGATTTCCCTTCCTCCAATACTATCACAGAGAATTTCTTTTTTTAAAAAAAAAAACTGATTACAAGAAGAATGGATTAAAATTCAAAAAGGGGACATGACTGAGCATATTTATAATTTATGCATATCCTATTTTCTATTTTTACTTCTGTGTGAAATGTATCCATTCATTCTTTAATGTCATAAGGGACTATTTTTTATCAACAATAAAAAATGCTTCTATTAATAATTTAATTAAGTTTTATTCCACCCACTTTATTTTATAAAAAGGATTCCTTTAATGATCGATTCTTAAACATTTGGCTTCTATGTTTCAAATCTAAAAACATAAAATAGTAGGGAAAAATATTTGAAATGGCCACAAATCTTCAGTACTTCATTTACTTAGAAGAGTATAAAAATGATTGCAACCACAAACAGCTTTGTGAAATATAAAAAGTCTGAGAACAATAATCAAAATTTAATGGCAATACTATGTTTCAGCAGTATACATTTCAGATTATTTACTTTAAAACAAACCATACTAATTATATGAATTATGAACATTTTGGACTTTTCATCATCAAATATACCTCTCTGAAATAATAAGGACAATAAGTCAGCCCTGATTTATATTAGTATATGCTGATTTAACTGATTTATGAGTTGATAGTTATAACTTATCTTGGCAGCTACTTACGTAAGAGGTCTCTGTGTGGCAATGATGTAATCTGGTCTTCCATTTTTATAAACTAGGCGAGCATTCGCTTGAACCCAGGCCCATCGATTTTCCTTGGTAAGAAGTCTAAACACTGTCATACCACTCTCTCCAGTTTTTATCACTAAAAATAAATACAGAAATATTTCAATTAATTTAATTAGATGTAACATTCATATTTATTACTATACTTTCATCAATTTCTTATGCAGCTGAGTAAACCATAACTTGGGTGAAAACAAAATTGAAGATCTTAACACTCTTAAAATATCATAATAATTACCTACAATAGGTCTGGCACCCAACAGATCAACCACTATACATTAGTTATCAAAATTGTCCACCATTTATTAGAGGAGCAATATTTAAATAGGATAAAGATACCTTTTACCTGCTGTTCTCTATTGATGAAACACAGAGCTGTTTATTAGAACAAATGAAACATGATCACAATACTTCCATGAAGGAAAGGGGAAGAATGTCTCTGATAGAACATTTTTAGTAGAAGTTCAATCAATCAACATAAAATGTTGATTTAAAAATATTTAAATACAGAAAAATACTGCAATACATTCTAAGTTTGGCCTTTAGAAAAATGCTTTAATAAACATTTTAATATACATATTATGAAAAAGGATCTAGTGGCAAAAAATATAGAGTGGGATGTGATCAGAATATGTAGGTTCAAGCAAAAATAATTCACATGGGCATGTTAAAATACTGCCTCTTCCAACATAAATTTATACTTAGTAAAAGGAGATGTTTAAAAGAAAGTTAGAAAAGAAAAGAAAAGAAAACGTATGTTAGGATATACTTAAAAACTTATTCTGGCACTTATTTTTCTCCTTATCAAGACTTCATCAAGATATATCTCTTACTTCTGACATGGTTCTCAGCACAATAAAGCATATCGGCTGCATGGATAAACTGGTATCCTGTTCCTCTCATGCAAAGTTCTGCCTCAGTATAACCCAGCACAATTCTTCCCCTGCAAGATATATTTGACACTATTTTTTATCAGTCACTCAAAGAAAAACAAAATTACTAACCACATCATCCGTATCAGCATTCAATAGGTCAATTGGAAAGATCAGCTACAAGCAAGAACATTACTACAACTGTTCTTCACAACAGAATGAGTGGAAATGTCAGAGCATCTGTTTAAATAATGGGAAAAAGTGAAACACGGTCTGGCTGTCTGCAGTTACTATCTCAAGATATCAGTCCTTGAACTGTACAGAATCAGCAGGGGCTGTTCTGACCAGGATTTATGACTTTTCCAAACCTTGGGGGAAAAGAAAAAAAATGTTCTGGGGCATGTGACCCTCTAAGCAGAGATTAAGACAACTGTTTTACCTATTCCCAGGAGCAAAACAGGTTCTTGGGTTGGGAGAATGTTACAAACAATGCTGCCCTCTCTTTTAATAATACTCAAGAGGCAATTCTAAAAGGCATGCGCCTTTCAGAATCCCCAAGAAAAGCCTTAAGAGGAGTATGGGCATCCCACTTTTATTTTTAAATGTTTTGTGGGCATGAGAAAAACGGGAAAAGAATGCATATTGTTACCTAGTTGTGATTGATGTTGAAATTGTCTGAAAATATTTGTTAGAGAAAAGTAAGATGAATATTAAACAAACAAACAAACCAAACAGCAATGTGGGGCAGAAAACTGAATATAACATAATTTAGAGGATTTTGCTAACAATAGTTGTATAGAAAAATGACCTATCCAAATGTAGCTGCCTTCCTAAATAAATGTCTAAAACCTATTCTTTGAAAAGTATCAGTGGATTATGATTATTCTTAGCAATAATTAGCAATAATGTTGGAATTATGGTATACAACTCAGCAAACATGCGCAAGAATATTCATTATTTATCTTTTTTTAACTTACTTTGCATCACAGCCAATTGGTGTGAAATCTAGCTTATGTTTGGTTCTGAAAATAAAATTCTTTGTACGAATTTCAAGAATGGAAGGTGGCTGAAGTGGAGTAGCCACTGCAAACAAAGCCAACTGGGGCGATATGACAGTTCCATCTTTCCCTTTCTTGTTCTGACCATGAAGAAACTTCAATCGCCCTTGAAAATTCATAGCCTTTAGAGAAAAAAAAACAAGCATATAATCATATTCTTTAGTTTTAATCCATATTTCTCTGTTCGCAAAAGACAACTGAAGTTAAAGAGAAAGTGAAAGAGAAATTTGCAATTCACTTATTACTGGTAGTCCTGGACTTACAACTTTGTTTAGTCATCGTTCAAAGTTACAATGGCATTGAAAAAGTGGCTTATAATTGTTTCTCACACTTACGACCACTGTAGCATCCCTATGGTCATGTGATCCAAATTTGCGTGCTTGGCAACTGGCATGTATTAATGACAATTACACTGTCCCAAGGTCATGTGATCACCATTTGTAACCTTCTCAAACAGCTTCTGATAAGCAGTCAATAGGTGAAGCCAGATTCATTTAACAACTGCATGATTTACTTAACACATATGATTTGCTTAACAACTATAGCAAAAAAGATTGTAAAATGGGGCAAAACTCATTTAACCATGGCTTTGTAGTGGAAATTTGGGGCTAAATTTTGGTCTAAGTCAAGTATCATTAACACTTTGGTATATAGGTAGTCCTCTACTTACAACCATTCAGCACTGAAAAAAGTGACTTATGACCATTTTTCACACTTGCAGCATCTCTGTGGTCACATGATCAAAATTTGGTCACTTGGCAACTAGCATATATTTATTACGGTTTCAGTATCCCAGGGTCATGAGATCACCATTTTTGACATTTTTACTTTGACAAGCAAAGTAAAAAAGGGGAATCCAGATTCACTTAACAACCATGCTATTAACTTAATAACTGTGGTGATTCATTCAACGATTTTGGTAAGAAAATAAAATGGAGCAAAACTCTCTTAACAACTGTTTGCTTACCAACGGAAATTTTGGGCTCAGTTGTGGTTGTAAGTCGAGGACTACCTGTATTAATGTTAACGTTTCTTGATAGACTATTAATTATTACTCCAAATTAAAATACTTCATGATAGTTTCTGGCTGCAGGTCAAATATGAAAACCAAAGCAAGCAGTTTGCTGAAATCTCTATTCAAGGGATGTTCTTTCCTTTCCAACTTTATGGTGCAAAGCAGTGTCTCAAGCGCAGTTTAAAATCTGACCATTCTCTTCTATTATGTCAAGAAAGAAATTCTAGTAAAGACAAAGAGACAAATAAACGGGGATGACTTAAAGCAACTTAGATCCTTCAAAATCTTGGGAGTTACTTTTCAGTCCTCTGACATTTGAAGGTTTGCCTCAGAATAATAACTAAGGAAGTTTTGTGATTATCCCAAGCTTTCTTTTTCATTGTGAGTGGCACTGAAATACCCTTTAAAAAATCCAAGATAATCTGACATGTGCAATGGCTCCAAGGTGCCAAGATGTATAAACATTTTTAACTATTGGAAGGCATTCAAGGACTGTACTTCAATCTCGTACTGTGATCCTTATGCATATTGAAGACTGAAATTAGAAATGGCATTCTTTGAAGGAGAGACGTAAGATAAGGTTAAGGTTTAGCTTAAAAAAATGTTTTTTATTGCAACTCTGATCTTCCTCATATTCTTATAGAATCCGTTAAGATATCCATAAAGGAAAGAGCTTCTTGTGAACTTAAAATGGGTGCCATGTAATTATCCTAAAGCCAAATATTTAGAACCAGTGGGCTCTAGTATTTAAGGCACCAGGAGAAACCAGGAAAGTGTAGTTCTAGTCCTACCTGAGGCCTAAAGCTAGCTAAGTGACTTTGGGACAATCATTCTCTCTCAACCCAACCCACTGTTCATTACCCAATGTTCATTATCTTCAGTTACTTATAAAAGAAGTAAACTCAGGATAGGAGATTAACAATAATTAAGAACTATTTTGACTTAAGAAAATTTGTTCTTGCCTGCCTAATAAGCAGGATATTGCTATTTGTAAACATTCCATTTTATTATGGAAAATATGTTTAATTTATGACTTAACGTAATAGCATTGTCTGTCTGCTGTTTATTCTTTTCAGATATTGAAGATTCATAAATCACAGTTTGCAATGTGTGAATTCTAGAAGTTAGCAATGTTTTAGTAACCTTTGTAATGTTTTGGCTATTTTCCTTTGCTTTGCTATTGAATGTGGTATGTGTAGAAGTAAATCTGATTAATTATTGCTCTTATTTCCTAGTGTAGGCCAAATTATTAACCCAAAAGGTCAAGGGAATCCTTCTTGCATCCAGAATACATGTATATCTGATTTTCATTTTTTCCTATGCTATTTAAAACTATATTTTCAGAATTCTTTCAAAAATCTTCTTCCAACTTTTCAGTAGATTGCTATGGTAGCCTGCCCTCCCTAGCTCCATTTACTTTTCTGGGAATGAGGGAAAATTGATAGAACAAGAACTTTTATGAATTCTAATATCTCTTTATAATGGTCCCACCCCTCTTCTTTTCCTTTTATGCAGTAGAATTCTGCTTCTAGTAGTATGGCACAACTGGAGGTTTCTTATGGCACATTAAAATATACTATACACAATTTGCAAAATAGTCTTGAGACGTAATGACCTACCAAATTTAGCTACTTTCAAAGAGTCAGCATGGCATCAATTTTCACTGATTGTTTGTGGTACAAACAATTTATTAGCACATATTATGTATTGTTTTGTGGTAACAGGCATTTATAGGATAATATGTGTAGGATAATGAAGGTGTGGTGGACAAAGATTTGCCATAGAGCATTGCCATCATGAGAAATTAAATCATTCATTAAAATCACATAATTATGTACCCACCAAAAATCCAGATGAATTATCCAAGAGACAGCGTAACCTACAAATGAAATTTCGCTCCATGAAGGACGAATTCTCTGGGGGAAGCTGGTCAGGGTTGTAATATGTTGCTATTTGTTGAAAGCCATTATCTCCTATAGGGGAAAAATAATCTTAGAATCTCTTTGAAGAAAATTTGCATTATAAAACTTGCAATTTAAGGGAGTCTCTGCCCAACCAGACTTTGAATGGCATGCTAAGAGCACTGGAAAAAGGGATGAAGCAACAAAAAGTGAGTGAACAAGAACAATTAAGTGAAATATTAATACTGTTGTATTCAATTACTTTCATTATTATTTAACTGTGACATTTTATTTCTGTCACACACAGAGTGACATTAGATTTTAGAATATGAGATTGTTTCATATGGAAAGGTATATAAAGGCTTTTTCTTCTCTGTTTTTCTTTGCTGAAAACTCATGTAATTTTTTGTTCATAACACAAAACTTCCATTGTTTTCCCATCATTGCTTTTTCTGTTTTCAACATTATTTACTCACTTCTAAACAGACAAATTTAACTGATGTATATTTTTAATTTCAATTCTATCTATCTATCTATCTATCTATCTATCTATCTATCTATCTATCCATCCATCTATCCATCCATCCAACCATTATCTATATCTATATCCATCCATCTATATCTATATCTATATCTATATCTATATCTATATCTATATCTATCTATATCTATATCTATCTCTATCTATCTATCTATCTATCTATCTATCTATCTATCTATCTATCTATCTACCATTTCTCCCCAAAAATAAGATCCTGTCTTATATTTTTTTGAACCCTGAAATAACTGCTTGAGCTTATTGCCATGCGCTCAAAAGCCCAACTGGGCTTATTATCAGGGGCTGTCTTATTTTGGGGGAAACAGGGTATCTATCTATCTATCTATCTATCTATCTATCTATCTATCTATCTATTCTATCTATCTACCTACCTACCTACCTACCTACCTACCTACCTACCTACCTACCCACCCATTATCTCTCTCTCTCTCTCTCTCCCGTGTTTCCTCAAAAATAAGACCCTGGCTTATATTTTTTTGAACTCTGAAATAAGTGCTTGGCCTTATTGCCATGCGCTCAAAAGCCCAATTGGGCTTATTATCAGGGGCTGTCTTATTTTGGGGGAAAGAGGGTATCTATCTGTCTGTCTGTCTGTCTGTCTATCTGTCTGTCTGCTGCCTGCCTGCCTGCCTGCCTACCTACCCACCCATTATCTCTCTCTCTCTCTCTCTCCCGTGTTTCCTCAAAAATAAGACCCTGGCTTATATTTTTTTGAACTCGGAAATAAGTGCTTGGCCTTATTGCATGCGCTCAAAAGCCCAATTGGGCTTATTATCAGGGGCTGTCTTATGTTGGGTGAAACAGGGTATCTATCTATCTATATCTATCTTCTATCTATCTATCTATCTATCTATCTATCTATCTATCTATCTATCCATCCATCCATCCATCCATCCATCCATTATCTATATCTATATCCATCCATCCATTCTGTCTCTGTCTCTGTCTGTCTATATACCTACCTACCTACCTACCTACCTACCTATCTATCTACCTACCTACCCACCCATCCACCCACCCACCCACTCATTATATCTATCTATCTATCTATCTATCTATCTATCTATCTATCTATCTATCTATCTATCTATCTATCTATCTACCTATCTATCTATCTATCTATCTATCTATCTATCTATCTATCTATCTATCTATCTATCATCTATCTATCTGTCTGTCTGTCTGTCTGTCTAATCCATCCACCTATCCATACATCCATCTCACACTATCCACTATCATATGGAAAATCAATTCTAATTTACAATTATTGTCTGAATAAATTAAACCTTTAAATTTAATGTACCAAAAATATTTTTATGAGCAAAGTAAACTATATATTTTATAAAGTTGACATGTACTTAAAAATAAGTGATAGTTATTGCTTCTATCTGCTCCAAATTATACTTCTTGAAAAGATTTCAGTTTTTAAACCTTTCCTTTAAAAACTGATAGATATATAAAATTAAGGACACTGTTGTACAGATGTAGTCCTCTGATGTAAAGTAGCAAATGCATTATGAAGTGAATTCTGTAAATTTTAAACTCATTATCTTTCATTGAAACATATGTAGTTGCTTGCAGCTATCAGATCCTCACCTTGCATTATCTGTCCAGAATCTGTGGACTGTATAGGATTAAGAGCCCAGTGAATCTGACGCTGGAATTCTGGTCTATCTTCTGTGTGAATTAATTCAAACACACACTGGTGTATAATGTCAGACTACATCGAAGAAATAATAATAAAAATATTTCAGGCATTTTATTCACCAAATCTGATTACTAGAATGAGCCCCAGAGTTTAACTCAGTATAATTGACAAAATAAGACAGGGAAATGATTTACATGGAAAAAAAACCCCTACTGAATAACTTAAAAGATTTTTTTTATCATTCTGGAACAATATTACTAGCAAAGAAAGGATAGACGATGCATAGGATAGACTAAACATCTAGAATCCAGAAATGTAGGGTCGTTGATGCCTTCTGTGGTTGGTTGATATTTTTTTTTTGCAGAAGTTTCACTCTGTGCAAGAAAACAATCAATGTCTGTAGCCAAAACAACCAAACTCAAAGAGCACCAAGGATACCACAGTTCAAGTATGAATTCCAAATATTCTCTTCAATTGATAACTAGAAGTATGAGGAACAGAAAGGAGTCTGGAGTGGGTTTCTTTAGAAGAGATGTGAACATGGAAATGAATCTAGCCAATTCATCCACAGAAGAGGATTACAGGATATAGTTTGGAATCAAAACTTAAATTTATTTAGTAGTTTAAGAACTAACATATATTTAAGCCACCATATTGCCTTTTAAATAGCATTTCTTAATTTTGAAGGCCTCCTAAATTCATTTGAATGCTTATTATCTGTGCAAGCAGTAGATGACAGTAGGGAGAGACATATACTGAGGACAAACCATAATTTAGTATGATCTGAGAAGTTAACAGCTCTGGAAAAAAAAATATGAACAGAGAGAAAAATGAATAGTTTTCTTTAAAATGAGCCCACAACTTCCTGGATTGTTTGTACACTATACTATTTATTCAGTGAACCAAGGAAGTGATGTTTTAAAAGTTGCATTTCACTAAATAACAACAACATAGTAACAATATGAATTGTTTAAAAAAATCTATAATTAAAATGCATACCTGCTGGAAACCCAAATAATCCTGGATTGTAGAAGACACATAAAATATGTGGGCATCTGATGTGACCACTAGCACAAAGCCATTTAATGCCTGAAGACAATAGCAATATGGTTTTTAAAAAAGCATTGATTTTAAAATGAGTTTAAATGATCATGCATGAACAATTTACTAGTACACAAAATAGCAATAGTGTGATATAATAATTTTAACAGCACTTTGTGAACGCATCCAACAAAGCAGCAGAATTATCTTTCCTATTCTAGCCTTTTTCTTTAAAGTAATGCTTTAGAAAGCACACTGGTTTTTGTAAATAATTTTTTAAGGGACCAAGGGGATGAAATAGAAAAAGAAATCTGGAAAAAAAAAACCCTTTATGTTTTGGGAAGTATTTTTTTTAACACTAAGAGTTAAATATAAAGGCAAAACCTGAAAGGCAATCAGAAGGATTCAAAGAGAAACTGAGGTTTTGTTTTTTTCTTAAATGTAGGATATCTAAATTTTTAGGCTATTGACATACAGTGGCTAAATGGCACTAAAGTGAGATTTTTCAATCATAGATTTTCAGAAAACCAGCATGCTGATTCATATATAAAAATTAACAGTGGATGGATTCATACAGTGCACAAAATAACAATCAAGCAAGCACAATGTCCCTTAGTTTGATGTATTAGGGAAATAAGTGCAATTTGTTGCCAGAAAAATTGCAACCAAACTATTATCCAACATTTGTTTAATTGCCAGGCAAAATTTATTTATTTATAAATCATCTCATATTACAATCTGGGCTGAGAAAGAGAATGCTATCCTGTTAAATCAGTGGAGAAATGAATGATGATTCCCAAAGGTGCTTTTCCAAAAGGCAACTGGACTTTCTTGGGTTTTTTTTTTCTTTGAAAACATTTCCGCTTCTCATCCAAGAAGTTTCTTCTATTCTAAAGAACTGAAGAAGTCTCTTGGATAAGAAGTGAAATGTTCTGAAAGAAAAAAAAAAGTAAAGTCCAGCTGTCTTTTGTAAAACCACCTCTGGGATAATCTTAACCTGGACAATCAAGAATCTCCACAGATGGATATCATCATAACTCTTCCTCAAATAGCAAGCAATTCTGTTAAGAGATTAGTAATTCAGAAGTCCATGAAATTGGGGAAGTGATTCCTTTTATTAAAGTAGAAAAACAAAGGAAAGGCAAAAAAGTAACAACAAAAAAGAAGAAAACCTCCAAGAACACTCCCAAAATTGTATTAATAATAATAATAACTGGGCAGACCCAAGGCAATATAAAGTTCCTTTGTACATTGCTGTAAGAAATTCCTTTGAAATATTCACAGTAATGATGATAATTACCTGCAGCAAAAGTTCACCTTCTAGCATATTCATTCTCCCTCTGGTCTGCACGGTGCTGTTGTTGCTGTCCTGCATGCTGTTTCTTTCAGGCTTTGCTGAACTTCTTGACTTCAATGTAACTGTAGGCAAAAAAAATGAAACATTCAAAACGTATTATAAGCATTTCACAGAAGTTAATTGGATAAATGTACCCAATCAAAATGTAATTTTGAAATAATATTAATAAAATGCATAATTTACCACTGTGTGTAGACAATATGAAATATAAAGGAAAATAAAAGCAATACAGCAACAGAAAAATTCTATCTAGTTACCATAAGCAAACAGTTATATTGGTATAAAATGCACAAATTCTTAACCTATTTCTACTCTGATTTGCTAGGAAATGGTGTTATTCTGATTCTGGGTGTGCAAGAAATACTAAGCAAACCCCTCTGGCTTTGCTTGATCCTCCCTTTATACCACCAGCCAATGGAGAACCAACTGCCCAACACAGCAATATTGCAATTGGCAGATTGCTTTGCTGATGGGTTTAGGCATCCTCCCACTTCTCCATTTTGGAAAAAAAAAAGTAAGTTCTTGATGATTGGATATCTACCAAGGATGCCAAGCCAATCAAGCAGCAGTCCGTGAAATATTAAGTCAGCTACATTTTAAAGAAATGTTATGTCTGTTTCAAAGGCCATCCCAAATTGTTTTTTCTAAAAGTGCCAGTGAAGCAGCTGTGCATTATTGCTAGGGGCAGCCTTCAAACAGCCTTGCACTTCTTCCAAATAGTGTGTCTATTGTAAGGTTTTGAGAAAACTTGGTTTGGTAGTATCTTTTGTAAAGCTTCTTTTTTCAAATGTCTTGCATAGACTTATTGGAATAGATTAAAATTGTTCCTTTGCTTCACCCAAACAACCCACCTCAAACTATTAAATCTATCCTGTCTGTTCAAGTGCAAGATTAAAGGCAACACTACTAATGACTGATCCCAAAGCTAATTTCATATATTTAACATCTCTGTTGGTCACTGTAACATAAAATCTATTTTGGCCTGTACTAATGATGCTAACTAACAATGTAATTTTGTCAGCTGTTTAATATTTGTCACTGCAGGATAGTTACAATAATGATCTTGCTGCACTTTCTAAAGTTTCCAACTTTTCCAGAGTGGTATGCAATTTCCAGACAATAAAATTGATTAGAAATTGAATTTTTGAAAGATAAGTTCCAATATGTATTACATTTTACAATAGAGTTCATCTTTTAATTATTAAACACATAGTATTAGAATTACAATGGTAGTAAAAAGTGAATATCAGTAAGGATGAAAGACAGTGTATAAAAAATACCTATACTGAAAAAGCCAAAGAACATTGAAAGCCATTTTTCTTATTAAGCAGCAGCTAGAAATTAGTCTCATCTAGATTTGCAAAAAAAAAAAGTTATTTCTTTGAAAGATGTAAGTAATAAAAAGTGTGAGTCCTAAAAGCTGCAAGTAAATCCTTTTATTTTTTTGTAGAAATTTAGCAGCATCTTGGCACATGGCAGTATTAGGATAGCCTTCTCTGGGCCAGGGAATTAAGCATGGTCAAATCTGGTTAATATTTAAAGATCTCCAATCTCCATCTCCAACTGCTAAAGGGGCTTACTGGAAATCAGAAACCACTCTAACAATAACAGAGTTGGATGGGAACTTGGAGATCATCTAGTTCAACCTCCTGCTCACACAGGAAACGTATACTAGGGATTAGAACTGCTGACCTTTCTGATCAACAAGCTCAGAGTCTTAGCCACTGAGCCACCTAGGGAGCCACCACTTTGAAAGAATGCAATGGCAACCACTTCTGCAATTGGCAAAAAACCCCACATTGATATCCACGAAGTCACAAAGAGTTGAATACTTCAATGGAGATTCTAATTTAAGTGAGACCACAGCAGTAACAGAAAAAAAGGACATAATTTTCTGAACTGCATTTGACTGTTAAATACAATTCACACTGTTTAGCTACTTTTTCTCTTAGTCTGTTCTGTTATGCAAGAACATGAATAAGATATAATTGTATTCATTTTATTTACTATGTAACTAATTAATTTTCTTTTTCAGGATGAAGAAAATGAAACTCCTCCATTCTTTTGAATCAAAGAAAAATGGATGAAATCTAGTAAGAGTCATTTCAAAGTAAACCTATTTAGGATTTTTTTTTTAAATGAAAAGTGTAAGTTTCATGAAAACTGTTCCCTGACTGGCCAGATGAAAATACTTTTGCAAAAAAAAGAACTGTTGTGAGAGACATTGAACTTTTCCTTAATTATCAGGATGTACAAAACCTTCATTTTGTAGTCAGGAATGAGATAAGTCAGAAACTTGTAATATCATAGTTGAATGCTAAATTTCCCAACAAACTGACATCCTTATTATCAAGATTATAAGGGCATGATGACCTGGTATCTTATAGCAATAAAAAAACAAAAACAAAAAAAACCCCAACCCACCCTAAACCGAACAGAAAACAGATCAGAGATGTGTTTACACTATAACTGAAAAATAAAAGCTACTACAAATAGTCCATGATTTTATGATGGGACCAGAATCTCCATTGCTAAGCAAGACAGTTATTGAGTTGTATTCAATTTCATAATCTTTTTTTGCCATGGCTGTTAATAAAATCACTGTAGTTATCAAATGAACCATGCAGCTGTTAAGCAAATCTGGCTTTCCCCATTGACTTTGCTTGTCAGAAGCGTGGCTGGAAAGGTAATAAATGGTGATGACATGACCATGGGGAAGATGTGAACAGTTCTAAGTGTAAGTCACCTTTTTCAGTGCCATTGTAATTTCAAATGGTCGCAAAATGAATGGTTGTAATATGAAGACTACCTGTACCAGCTTGGCACTCTTACCCAAAGAGTAAAGCAATGAACATATGTTTAACTGCTTTTTAAATGATGGGATGATAGGAACAATATGAGCCTCTGGAAGGCTGCTGTGAAGACTTGATTTTTACTAAAAATTACTGATGAAGCCTGACAATCTCTCTGTCCTTATTGCTCCATTTCTTTTTCACAAGCAGAGGTGAGCATTGACCTTCATTCTCCTGTAAGAAGCAAAAGTATGTATCTTTTCAGAGAGAATTCTAAAAATATAAGACCGAAAGCTTGAGAAGGAGAAGACTGATAATTAATATCAAACTGAGTTAGTTATAAAGACAGAAAATCATGAGTGGCCTGACAGCAAGTAGATGAACCGGGCCTAACCCTAGTGGATTGGCTTCCAAACATTTATGCCCAACCCAATTTCTTCTCCATTTCTACCCAACTTGATCCAATCTGCATCTAATTTTAACTACCACCTAACTTAAGCTGACTTGGCTGTGTAAAATTTTTAATAATGCTGACAGACATCTACAGTAAACAATAGCATTTTCAGTAAAATATTGTCTTTACTCTCAAAATATATCTGGCCTTATTTTAATGAGTTTTAGGTCACCACAAAACAGTTGATTGAAAGACTATAAGTCTCTAAAAGAAAGAAAGCTAACTTAAAAAAAAAACTTCTTGGGAAAGATTCTAGGCTCCCAAATTTCTTTTCTTCCTGAAAACGTTTCTTACATTCACCTGAGCCCTAAGAAATATAGCATTCTGAAAGTTAACAAATATTATGTAGAAAACCTGGCATCACAAGGATGTGTATTGTGTATCAAAATATATAATCTTCTAAGATACAGATGAAAATTGGCACCATAAGGAAAAGTATAACATTGTTATAATTGCAAGTGGAACTCAAATAGAGATGATTGTTTCCTCTATCCCATCATGCTGCTGCCTAACTACATTGTCAACCACCTTCCTCCATAAGGGAAGGTTAGATACTGGGCAAAGAAAGTCCACTATGGTGAGATCCAGAAATAGTTTGAGGAGTGGGTCAACCAATGGAGAAACAAATCTCTCACTCAAGGACAAATTCATCACTGCCAAAACCTACCCACAAAACACCTTCTGGGAAGCTATTAGCTAGGAGAGCATAGATCCAATAAGCATGTGACCAATCTACATGTCTAATGATCCTGTCCATGTCTTCAGGTTCAACATGTTCAAACCGATACCTTTTAAAATAGCAAGAATTTGCCTTGGGCATCTATCTACCTGTAGCAAGCTCAACATTCAATAGAGAACCAATCTGAGTGATTTTGTCTGAGAAATGCTGAGCAAAGAGTTCTGCATGGCCTTGTAGGAGAATTTCTCAGTCTCCCGACCCCATCAAGAGGGCACATGTTACCCGAACAAGACTGCAGGATAGCTATTGGTAGATAGAATAACAGTGAAAACTTATCAAATTTGCAAGACACCAAGCTAGCAGAATAGCCAACACTCCAGAAGATAGGTTCAACATACAGAGCCATCTTGACACATTTGAATACTGGGCCCTACCTACCAAAATGAAACCCAATGGTGAGAAAAGTAAGATTCTATATTCAGGCAAGAAAAACAAAATGTACAGAAATAGAACAGGTCACCTGGCTCAATCAGAGGGGAATCTTGGAATCCTAGTGAACAATCATATGAACCAGCAGTAAGCTTCAGCTGCCCAAAAATCTAACACAGTCCTAGGCTGTATTAACAGAGGGATAAAATTAAGATCATGTGAAGTGTTAGTACCACTTTGGTATTTACTAAAATGCCTTGTTAAGACCACACTTGAAATACTGCATCCAGTTTTTGTCACCATAATATAAAAAAGATGTTGAGACTCTAGAAACAGTGCAGAGGAAGACCAACAAAATGATCAGGGTACTGGAGGTTAAAACATATGAAGGATGGTTGCAAGAATAGGGTATGTTTCTACTTGCATTTTTATGTACTTTCGAACTGCTAGGTCGGCAGAAGAGCTGTCCTGTAGAATAGTGCAAAATAGAGATTATCTGTATTTGATATTGAAAGATCTACATTGATCACTAATTGATTATGAGACATATGTTGTATATTCAATCAGGGGTTTTTAATTATAAAGCAAAATAAAGTCATGAGGTATTTATTTACTAGAGATTTCACAAGTCCATATGACTCTATATAAATACACTCTCCTCCATATAGTTTTTTTATACTTCTTATGTCTTATTAGTTCTACTTCTCT